AGAAAAAAAAACGCCTTTGCATTTCGTTCGGCATTTTAAAGATATCTGCCTTATTCATATTTAATGGCATCAGTCAAGAGCCAAATTATAATTATCTTTTATTTTTTGGCCATTTAATTAACATAACGTTAAACAAGACAGAAGCAGCAGCAACAACAACAACAACAACAATAATGTTTTATACTGACCATAAAACAGAAAAGGATGCGCTGTTTACTTGCGGTCATAAATTAATAATCAAGTGGTTATGTTGTGGCGTACCGAAGGACTTGCTTGCCATCATTTGTTTCATTCCGATGTAGCTACATATTAAACGAGCCAACGGGACATAATAATTGTCAGAATAATAATTAAAAGTGAGTTGTGATCGCCAAGTAGTGGCACATCAATGGAAGAATATTTTCTTTCCTCAATGTCAAGTCCCAATGAAGAATATCATCCATCCATCCTTCAACTTTTTTTTTGGCAAAAGCTCGCAAAAACCTCACCATTTATCATTTGCCAAATGATTAACGACAAGTTAGCAAAAAATAATTGATTGCATCTTGGCTGTCAACAACATTGTTGGGGGAGAATGCCAGTCAAATGGTGATTAAAATGTAAAGCGACGGATATGATGACATGGGAAGATTATTGCCAATGGCAACTTCTCAATAAACAAAAAATTTCAAAATTTACTAGGCCGTACTTAAACAAATTGAAAAGTAATTTCACGGAGATATGCGTGACATTTTCTTCCCAAGAAATATTTTATTTTTAAAATATAAGTGGCGTGGGATGCTGGAAAACTCTTTTACAAATTGGAAATTTCTCTCAGAATGAATTCATAAACAATGTCTTAAATTGAAGCATAGAAAATAATCGGTAATCAAAATACGCAAAAAATGTCAATAACTCTAAAAAATAATGAGTTATGAGCTTATTGTTCCAAATCTTTTACTGAGGGCTGTACTAAAATGTGAACTTTTTGCTAGTAGCATTTCTACAAAATAAGAATTCAAAATACCAAAAGTTGGCTAAATTGGAAAAAAAATGAAAAATAACAAGTAAGTAGTAAGTTCGGCCAACTTCGAATACCCTCCACCATTTGGAACGAATTTGGACATTTTCAAAAATAAAAATCCGTTAAAAATTCTGCTAAAATCTCAAAAAATACCGAGTTCAGACGTTATATTGAAGTCATTACCAATAGTGTAGCTAAAATCACTAAAATACCGTATATAGGGAGGTATCGTTATATCGGAGCTATACGAAGACCAAGACCTGCATAGACAATTCTTTGTCACAGGCTTCAAAAACGACATCTCAAACAATTTCGGTGAGTATTGCACCTAAAATCGTCAAAATACCGAATGTAAGGAGGTACTGATATATAGAACCTATACGAAGACCTGGACCTGCATAGACAATTTTCTGTTACAGACTGTAGTTCCCATTACGAAATCTAAACGTAATTTGAAACTACTCCGGTGAGTAATGTCGGTAAATCGTTGGGAGGTGCCATTATATGGGGGCTATACGAAGACGTGGACCTGCACAGACAATTTTCTGTCTTAGGCTATAGTGTACTTTTCGAACTTCAAATATTATATTTGAAACAATTCGGGTGAATAATGTCGCTAAAATCATTAAAATACCGAATATCGGGAGGTACCGTAATATGGGGGCTATACGAAGACGTGGACCTGCATACACAATTTTCTGTCCTAGGCTGTAGTATCTATTACGAACTTCAAATACCAAATTTGAAACAATTCTGGTGAAAAATGTCCATAAAATCATTAAAATACCGAATATCGGGAGGTACCGTTATAGGGGGGCTCTACGAAGACTTGGACCTACACAGACAATTTTCTGATGACTGTAGTATCCATCTCGAACTTCAAATACAAAATTTGAAACAATTCCGGTGAATATATTCGTTAAAATCATCAAAATACCGAATATCGGGAGGTACGGTTGTAAGGGGGCTATACGAAGACAATTTGCTGTCTTAGGCTGTAGTATCTATTACGTACTTCAAATACTAAATTTGAAACTATTCCTATTCCTAAAATTATCAAAATACCGAATATCCGGAGGTACCGTTATATGGGGGCTATATGAAAACGTGGACCTATATGCCTCATTTACAAACTTAACCTGCCTACTGGCAAAATATATTTTTGTGCAAAATTGTAGCCTTCTATCATAATTCGTTCGAAAGATGGCGTGATTACAACAGACAGACGGACGGACCGACAGACTTAGAAATTTAGGCTGATCAAGAATATATATAATTTGTTGGGTCTGATATGAGTATTTCAAAGAGTTACATTTGAAATGAAAAAGTTAATATACCCTCCATAGAATGATGGAGGGTATAACAAGTACATCAAATAGGAGTTCACTCTTATGTAGAGACTGATGCAGCAATCCGTAAATGTTCAAAGCTCTACATTAAACGTTTGACCATTGCATATGGTCAAGGCTATATAAAGGCCTTAGAGCTTTTTTGGGGTTTTGTTCTACTAGCAAATCCACTTGGAATTCTCTATTACCCAGATCAGGTTATAAGAAAATTTGAAAATCTTCATAGAATTACTTTCTGAGTTAATGTATGCATGTTAGTGCGTCCGTCCGTCCATTTATTCTTGTGAACAAAATGCAGGTCGCATTTATTATCCGATTGAGATGAAATTTTCAAAACAATATTTGTTTGATCCGTAGACGGATCCTATTGGAATTGGTGAGAATCGGTTTAAATTTATATATAACACCCATATATATCTTCAACCGATTGAGGGTTAATTGTGCACCAAAAGGCCAATACAAGTCCAAATGACCTGAATTTTGATACATCCCACCGAGTACAGTCTAGAAGCACGTACATCAAATTTGGTGAAAATCGGTTCAAATTTTATAGAGAACGGCCAAGATTTGGATATAGGTCCCATATATATCCTCAATACGATTTCAGGTTTATTGTGCAAAAAATGGCTAATATCAGCCCAAATGGAGTGAATTTTGAGACGTACGTTTCCATTTTGTGGAACTCGGCTCCGATATATGTATTTTTTTAATGAAAATCGTCTAGAAGTGATATCATTCACTCTATAGCAATGTTACTTGGAATAGGTACAGATGCCTCCGTCAAATTTGGTGAAAATCTATTCAGAATTATAAATGCCTCTCGTATATTATTTCCCTCTGAAACCACACTATAACTGCTCTAAAGCCAAATGTTGATAGGTGGTATGATCTACTTCAAATAAATTCTTTTGTTACGGGAGCTGTACTAACTATGCATAGTGGTGAAAGGTATCATATAGCCGTCCGACTTTTGACTTTTCCGTACTGGTTTTTGTCATAGTTTTGATACTGAATTCGCTATAAATTGGCAGATCCAAGCTTAAGTATAATTTCCATATAATTGAACATTCCGCTATTTTGAATTTTTCTCCGATATTCTATAAGCTCCACCATACATAGTATGGAGGGTATATTAAGTTCGACATTCCGTTTGTAACTCATCGAAATAACCATTTTAGACCCAACAAAGTATATATATTCTTGATCAGCGTAAAATTCTAAGACGATTTAGCCATGTCCATCCGTCTGTTGTAATCACGCTACAGTCAAACGAATTAAGATAGGAAGCTAAAATTTTGCACAGATCTCTCTTTTGTCTGCAGGCAGGTCAAGTTCGAAGTTAGGCTATATCGGTCCACGATATCGTACAGTCCCCATATAACGGTACCCCCCGATATTCGGCATTTCGATTATTTTTAGCCACATTTTCTAATGGAATTGTCTGAAATTCCACACAAGAAGTCCCTTCTGTGTACTTTACCCCCTGAAAGAGAATTGTCTATATAGGTCCACGATATCGTATATCCCCCATATAACGGTACCCCTCGATATTCGGTATTTTGATGATTTTAGCCACATTTTTAATGGAATTGTCTGAAATTCCACACAACGAGTCCCTTCAGAGTACTTTACCCCCAGACATAGATTTGTCTATATAGGTCCACAATATCGTGTATCCTCTATATATCGGCACCTTCCGATATTAGGTATTTTAAAGATTTTAACCTGAATTTTTAATGGATTTTATTTATTTATTTATTATTTTTTTTTTTTTTTGCAAATTTTCTAATTCGCTTCAAATGGTGGAGAGAATTCAAAGTTCGGCCTGACCGATCTTACTGCTTTTTTACTTGTTTTTTTTTTTTTTCAAATTTGTCACATTTTCGTTAGGTTCCATATAAGGGTGGATTCCTATTTTCGCTAGTTACATGATCGGTTTTCGATCGAATATGTACCATATTATATTTTATAGAGAATTACCTATACAAGTTTACGTTTTCGCACTGTCCCCATAAGACTGCACCTTCCGATATTCACCATTTTGATAATTTCAGCCACATTCTTAAAGACATTTTCGGCTTAACTGTTTTTTTTTTTTTTACTTATTTCGCCTTCCATTGATGGATTTATTGACCTAAGATCAAATAGCCATCGTAAGGTCCTTATATGTAAAACAATTTTCCAAGAATTTATAGCGGATTTTAGAGATAATTTTCTCGCTTTGTATTGCATAGCTAATGTCATATGCACACAAAAATCCCATTCGGAATAACAGCGCCTGCTGTGTACCATGAAAAAAAAATAAATAAAAATTTCGATTTTCCATTAACCTCATAGACTTTATAACAGCGCTGGTTGTTATTTAATTTTCAGCACAACATGCATTTGGCAGAATCCTCCGCAATAGTTTCTGGTTATTTTCACTTCTGTACCACAGTAACCCACTTCGTATATATTTGCTGTCTTGTAGGTTGCTGTTCCTGCTGTTTTTGTTGGTTTTCATTGCTTCTGAAATACTCGCCATTTATTTTTGTTTTCATTGTTGCGGTCATTCACTACATATCTGTATGTCCATTCATGTTATTTTATTTCTTATTTGTTTAATGCATTGTCGTTCCTTTTTTCATTCTGCTTTTCTTCCGTTGCAGGTCATGTGGGTGAGACGGACATCGGAAAAAGTATCCCTGTTGACTGTGGGCAACGTCACCTACAGCAGTGACCCCAGGATACGTGTGAAATTTCAATATCCCAACAATTGGCGTTTGCTGATCAATCCCACCCAGTGGGACGATGCGGGCATCTACATGTGTCAAGTCTCTACACATCCACCGCGGGTTTTTACAACAAATTTAACAGTTATAGGTATGTAACACTTTCAAACGAAACAGCCAAACAAACCATTGCCATCGGCTGTTGTAGACTTTAAAGGAAGTGCATCTACACACATACACACACACAGACACACATACAAATGCATGTTGCACGGGAAGGCAGGTTGTGGTGGTTGGTTGGCCACCAACACCAGTTCTACCGCAGAACAAACATTAAAATAAATACGACAATTGAAAATGAAAACAAACACGTACACATGCATGTATACATGTGTATTTGTGTATGCATGACTGCACATGCACCATCATATACATGTGTATATAACTATATTCTCTTCAGAATGGTATGTTTGTATGTGTAACAATTGTTTGCGTTTGTTTGCGGTGAATATGGCCAACAGTTTGTATTAATAGCATTTAACTGAAACATTTGCAAAGAGAAGACAATGGGTTTCAAAAATGAAGAGACTGAGAGACACCCTGCCTCTAATTGATAAAATGTATGGATTCATAAATCCCAACATAATCCTATATCTGTGTGTGTTATATTAAATTAAAATTATCGACAAGGGGGCTTGTGAGATGACATAAAAATACTTTTTGCCGCATTGTTGTTACTCGGCGTAGCACAATAGAATGATTTTAATCCACACATCCATAAAAAGAATAATCGAATGCAATAACAGGGGGAAATGATATGAGACCCACACATCAAAGTTTTGATATAGGAAGCCATCAAACATGCAATGCATGACCCACTTTAAGAATGTACAAATCGGGAGAGAAAATTGCATAATTTGTATAAGCTCATCCTTGCGTCTATAGAGGATACCCATATATCATCTGGTTGAGCCAAAATATCCAAATTAAGGTTTGAGATCCTACGTTTTTACAAAATCCGTGTAAAGACATTTAGAGTCGATCTAGAGTTGTCCGTGCATCAACTCCGAACATCAACTCTCAAAGGATTGTCCGACACGTTATAGTTCGACTAAATTGTGATAGAAGGCTGAAATTTTGTAAATAGGTGTACTTAGACAGGAGTTAGATCAAATTTATAAAATATTTAGACCGGTACATGTTTTCCCATAGCCCCCATATGAAAACATTTTCCGATATTACGTATTTTGACTAGTGGCTCACCTTTTCTAATGGATCCTTTTTATACCTTCCACCTTGGAAAGGAGGGTATATTAACTTTGTCATTCCGTTCCCATAAAGTATAAATATTCAAAATAAAATTCTTGTCCGTCTGCCTGTTGAAATCACGATACAACCCACACTATTTGACTATTTAATAATTTTTGATACATTTTTTCACGGATTTGTCTAAAAACTGGTATTTGTACGTCATAGTGGGTTCTAGCTCCGGTGGCAAAACATCGTATATATAAGTCCACGCTTTGGTACAGCCCCCATAAAACGGTACCTCCCGATATTCGGAATTTTGATGATTTTTGCAACATATCTTCGCGGATTTGTCTAAAAGTTGGTATTTATAGGTCATAATGGGTTCTAATGTTTCCTTTACCCTAAGCTGGAGGGTACTAAAAGTTCGGCCCGGCAAAAATTATTGTTTTTTACTTGTTTCTACATTCAGCCATATGGCTAGAGGATATACCTTCACATTTGATATGGCCAAAACGCGCCTCGTCGAAATAACGGTTTTAGCCTCAGATCTGTTTGGACCAAATTCGTTTCAGGACATTTGGAGTCGATCTAGCGATGTCCGTCCGTCTGTCTGTCTGGCAGGTGCAATGGTGGTGTAATATTATTATCAAACTAAGATCGGTTTCGAAGATGAACACTTTCGGTTCACCCCTTCTGGTACCTGCCCACAAGAGTTCGAAGTTTTCAAATATAATAATTTACTGTACAGGAAAGAAAGGATGATCCGATTTTCCTCTAACTTAGCAAATTCTTATATTTGTATCAGTGCTAGGTCAAGAGAGGAAATGGACAATATCCGTCCACTCCATCAAGTAACTCAACCCCCCTCCCCCCCACAAATATTCAAAATTATGAATAAATATAACTCTTATAAAATGTGACGTAACAGTCCGATTATTTTCAAATTACGCACATCACAATATTTTTATTAATCCAAGGTATGGTTTGAAGATGGAATATATCGACCCACTCCATCTGGTATATCTCCCCACAAAGTGTCAAATTTTTGAATTTCCATGAAGCTCATAAAACGCGAAAGTAACATCCAAGTCCATTCAGATTTTTTACGTCTCAATATTTCCAGACCTGCTACAAAGATTGTAGAGATCGGACCATCTCTGGTACCACCCCCACATAGGGCTCAAGATTTTGCAAAATAAAACGGTCAAAGGAAGCGAAATACGCATCCAACTCTCTTCAAATTTCATACAGATGATATGTATCTGCCTACCCCTTCTGGAACCTAAACCGCAAAGGGTCATAATTTCCAATACTTATATATACATCTAAATATTTCTCTTAAGCAGAAATCTGATATAATATGTAATTTATCGAAAATTATGATTTTACCACACCTTACTTTCTAAATCTTCCAAAAGTTTGACGTGGGACTGCGCTACTAGTATCATGGTAAGGAGCGATGTTACGAGACACAAAAGATTTATTCACATTTTAGTGCTGGAGTGCTCTAACGATAGCCACTTGTGGTTTTATAGCCAAATATGAAGAAATCACACTATCACGCTTGAATTCCATCACAAATAACTTTTTTTCTGGAAAATTCTCACCAAAAAACTTTTGTACGCTTGTAAACAGCATAATAAGCTGTCACTGGAATAATTTTAACAGCTGTCGGACGAGGGGCTTAGAAATTACAGCAGTCTGAATTTGGTTGCAGTTTTATCATCTCACCCTGTTTATTATAAACGAATATTAACCGAACTAGTCGGACATGGCTACATAATACTTCAAATTTAAGGCAACATACCAAAACTTGTTCCCTTACCCCGTGATGTTCTCCTATCCGTTTCGAACCCAATGTTGGAAGTATCATTCGATTTTTTAGAGAGATGGGTATACATCTACATACATGGCATATGACTTTATACATGAAAAGAGACACTTACATTGATATGATATAATTCCATGACATAATTTCAAAGAGGTTTGTTTCGGCACCACCCTAGTTTACTGAACGGATGCGTCTAACTGCTTCGAAACTTCATCCGACTGAGCAAACCAAAATAGTAACTCTTCCTAGCATAATTGTCTTTGTCGTTTCACTTTAATTTTTATACCCTCCACCATTCTATGGAGGGTATATTAACTTTGTCATTCCGTTTGTAACTCCTCGAAATACTCATTTCAGACCCAACAAACTATATATATATTCTTGATCAGCGTAAAATTCTAAGTCGATTTAGCGATGTCCGTCTGTCTGTTAAAGTTCGTAATGGACACTACAGCCTATGACAGAAAATTGTCTGTGCAGGTCCACGTCTTCGTATAGTCCCCATATAACGGTATTTTGATGATTTTAGCGTCATTATTCACCGGAATTGTTTTAAATTACTTATTTAGAGTTCGTAATGGGAACTGCAGTCTGTGACGGAAAATTGTCTATGCAGGTCCAGGTCTTCGTATAGGCCCCATATACCAGTACCTTCCTATATTCGTTATTTTGACGAGTTTAGGTGCAACACCCATCGAAATTGTTTGAGATGTCGTACTTTAAGTTCGTAATGGATGCTAAAGCCTATGACAGAATATTGTCTATACTGGCCCATGTCTTCGCACAACTCCGATTATTCACCGTTTATTTTAAGTTTCGAATTTGAATATGGTAATGACTAATGACAAGCAACACCTATGTAGGTTCGCGTCGTATAGACCCCAATATAACGGCAATATTCGGTTTTTTTAAATTTTAACAGAATTTTTTAGGTATTTTATTTTTTGAAAATTTTTAAATTCTTTCCAAATGGTGGATGGTATTCAAAGTTCAGCCCGGCCGAACATATTGCTTTTTAACTTGTTCTCTTTCCCCTAAGGTTTTAAAAAGAAATTATTATCCCCTGAGATTTGAGTTGCAAATTTTAGTTAAACTTATTTTAAAAAAAATGTCATAAGATCTTCAAAGTACTCATAACTTGGAGGTCATATACTTAATTATTATCAATATTGAATCATTCGATGGAAACTAGGGTCAAACTGTCCATTTGTTAATAAAAAGCGAATATAACTTGTATGTCTCCGAAAATCAGTAGTCCTTACTCAATCGTGTATCTATGTATCCCATTTTCAATACCAAACATTCTAGACATATGGGTATTTCTTCTATACTGCATCAACAGACAGAGAAGGTGTTGCGAAATAATTTTATAACATCCAACAAGATGTTAAACCAACCCAGCACTTAAAACTGAAACCTTACCAACCGGTATACATTTTAAAACAATCCTAGAAATGTGAACACAAACATATATGTCCCTAGAAGCAATTCCTTGGATTTTAATAAAACTTCTATATATGTCCAGCCATTAATTCTAGCAGATGTTACAAATAACACGGATATGACCAGTGGCTTGCCATTTTCAACTCTACTCCGCTCCGCTCCACTCCACTCTAACCAAGTCCTGCCATGCCAATTCGATTGTTTATTGTGGTCCTGTGTGGTGTGATGGAAAACCAGAATGATATTAAATTTTTACATCTATCTTTCCCCGCTCCCTTAAACCCACAGCTAAAGTGCCACATGAAAGTAAAATAAAACGTGCTTCATGTTTATGACGGTCTGTCGGTCGCTTGGTCAATGAATGAATGCAAACGGCAAACGAGGGCAAATTAATCAAACACTTTAACGATTTTCATTAAAATAAATTAATTTCATCGCTGACCACCAACGCGCAACGCAACATTGCCAAATAAATATAAAATTCTCAATTTTTATGGTTACATGCATATTGTTAGCATTTATTGTCAATGGAATGGGGATGAAATATAAATTGATTTTAAAATAAATAAAAACAAAGTGTTGTTTTAAAAATTGGTACGATTCTCATCATAGCCCAGCATCAACAT